AGGTTTTTGAAGTATGACCTGATGATTCTCTGGATTTCCTCGTTGTCTGTTGTTATGTCTCCCTTTTCATTTCTGATTTTGTTAATTTGGGTGCTCTCTCTTTGCCTTTTGGTTAATTTGGCTAGGGGTTTGTCTATCTTGTTGATTTTTTTTTCAAAGAACCAACTCTTTGTTTCATTAATTTTTTTTGTATTGTTCTCTTGGTTTCTATTTCGTTGATTTCAGCCCTCAATTTGATTATTTCCTGGCGTCTATTTCTCCTGGGTGAGTTTGTTTCCTTTTGTTCTAGAGCTTTCAGTTGTGCTGTTAATTCATTGGTATGGGATTGCTCCATCTTCTTTATGTGTGCATTTAGAGCAATGAATTTTCCTCTTAGCACTGCTTTCATAGTGTCTCATAAGTTTGGGTATGTTGTACTTTCATTTTCATTGAATTCTAGAAAATCTTTAATTTCTTTATTTCTTCCTTGACCCATTGATGTTTCAGGTGGGCATTATTCAGTTTCCATGAGATTGTAGGCTTTCTATAATTTTTGTTGTTGTTGAATTCTAACTTTAAGGCATGGTGGTCTGATAAGATACAGGAAGTTATTCCAATTTTTTTGTATCTGTTGAGATTTGTTTTGTGACCAAGCATGTTGTCAATTTTTGAGAAGGTTCCATGGGGTGCTGAGAAGAAGGTATATTCTTTTGTGTTAGGATGGAATGTTCTGTAGATATCTGTTAAGTCCATTTGAGTCATAACATCTGTTAGGTCCTTTATTTCTTTGTAAAGTTTCAGTCTGGCAGATCTGTCTTTTGGTAAGAGTAGTGTGTTGAAATCTCCCACTACTAATGTGTGGGGTTTGATGTGCGTTTTAAGCTTTAGTAATGTTTCTTTTATGAATGTGGGTGCCTTTGTATTTGGGGCATAAATGTTTAGAATCGAGATTTCATCTTGGTGGATTTTTCCTGTGATAAATATATAATGTCCATCCTGATCTCTTTCGGTTGATTTTAGTTTGAAGTCTATTTTATTACATATTAGGATAGCTACACCAGCTTGTTTCTTAGGTCCATTTGCTTGGAAAGCCTTTTCCCAGCCCTTTACTCTGAGGTAGTGTCTGTCTTTGAAGTTAAGGTGTGTTTCTTGTATGCAGCAGATGGATGGATCCTGTTTTCTTATCCATTCTGTTAGTCTGTGTCTGTTTATCGGTGAGTTGAGACCATTGATATTGATGGATATTAATGACCAGTGATTGTTATTTCCTGTTTTTTTTTTGTGGTCGTGTTGTGTTGTCCTTTTTTGGTGTTTGTTGGTGTGGGATTATCTATTGCCTGAGTTTTCATGGGTGTGTTTAGCTTCTTTGGGTTGAATTTTCCCTTCTAGTGCTTTCTGTAGGGCTGGGTTTGTGGACAGGTATTGATTAAATCTGGTTTTATCATGGAATATTTTGTTTACTCCGCCTATGGTGATTGAGAGTTTTGCTGGGTATAATAGTCTGGGTTGGCATCCATGGTCTCTTAGTGTCTGCATAACATTTGTCCAGGACCTTCTAACTTTCATAGTCTCTATTGAGAAGTCTGGGGTTATTCTGATGGGTTTGCCTTTATATGTTACTTGGTCCTTTTCCTTTTCGGCTTTTAATATTTTTTCTTTGTTCTGTATGTTTAGTGTTTTGATTATTATGTGGTGAGGGGACTTTTTTTTTTTTTTTTTTGGATCCAGCCTATTTGGTGTTCTGTAAGCTTCTTGTATCTTCATAGGTATTTCTTTCTTTAGGTTAGGAAAGTTTTCTTCTATGATTTTGTTGAATATATTTTCTGTGCCTTTGAGTTGGTATTCTTCTCCTTCTTCTATCCCTATTATTATTAGGTTTGGTCTTTTTATGATGTCCCAAATTTCTTGGATGTTTTGTGTTAAGACTTTTTTGTCTTTAGTGTTTTCTTTGACTGATGAATCTATTTTCTCTATTGTGTCTTCAGTGTCAAAGATTCTCTGTTCCATCTCTTGCATTTGGTTGGTTATGCTTGTTTCTGTAGTTCCTGTTTGTTTAGTCAAGATTTCTGTTTCCAGCATTCCCTCAGCTTGTGTTTTCTTTATTGTCTCAATATCATTTTTCAGATCTTGGAATGTTTCTTTCATCTGTTTAATTACTTTTTCTTGGCTTTCTTTGATTTCTTCCAATTTTTTGTTTGTTTTTTCTTCCATTTCTTTATTTTTTTTTTTTAAGATTTTATTTATTTATTATGTATACAATGTTCTGCCTGCATGTATGTCTGCAGGCCAGAAGAGGGCACCAGATCTCATTACAGATGGTTGTGAGCCACCATGTGGTTGCTGGGAATTGAACTCAGGACCTCTGGAAGAGCAGCCAGTGCTCTTAACCTCTGAGCCATCTCTCCAGCCCTTTTCTTCCATTTCTTTAAGCGAATTTTTTATTTCCTCCATAAGGGAGTTTTTCATTTCCTCTTTAATGGAGTTTTTCATTTCCTCTTTAAGGGAATTTTTTATTTCTTCTTTAAGGGCCTCTATCATCTTCTTAAGGTCATTTTTTAGGATTGATTTCTTCTGTTTCTTCTGCCTGGGTATGTTCAGGTGTTGCAAGTGTAGAATCACTAGGTTCTGATGTTGTCATATAGGTCTTTATGTTGTTGCCTGTATTTTTTGCACTGGCGTCTACTCATCTCTTCCTCTGCTCGGTGCAGGCAGTGTCTGTGTCTAGAGGTACCTCTCTTTCTCTAATCTTTAGTTTTGGTTCACTAGGAGTTCTTGGTTAAATTGGTGCTGTTGGGCTCTTTTTCTTCGGGAGCAGCTTAGTCAAATCAGTCAGGTTTAGTGGGTTCTGTCTCTTGGAGCAGTTGTTCCCAGTTGTTGTAGAGTGTGCTTATGGTTTTTAGTGGTTGTTAGGTTCGTAGGGGTTAGTTTTTTTGTTTGTTTTTTGTTTTGGGGTTTGTTGTTGTTGTTGTTTTTGGTGGGGGAGCAGGGAAAGGTAGCTGTCTGGTCCCTGGGACTCTGATGGGTAGGGCCTAGGGACTAGAGACCTGATCTGTCGGTCTGGAGATGGGAGCTTACCTGTTCTCAGTCGTTAAAGTGTATATACTTACGATTCTGGTGATCTGGTTCGGTGGCTGGGCGGAGCCTTCTTTTGTGTTCTCAGGTCACGTTTTGCTCATTCGTCAACTCCTCAGCTGATCATGTTTCCTCAGACTTCAAATTGTAGGATTCTGAATCCTCTCCCAGATGGATTTCAGCTGAGCAGGGTAGTCTCACCAACACCTCCAAGTTGTTGGGTTTCTCAGGATCAGCAGCTGGGCCCTGGGTTGGCCTCAGACAGAGTGTTCAGATCCGTTCTGCTTACTTTTGTTTTACTGATCCCATCCCACCCCTACTTTCCTTCATCTCATTGTTCTCTATCAGAAGTAGTAGCAGTAAGTAGCAGTAAGTAGTAGTAGCAGTAAGTAGTAGTAGCAGTAAGTAGTAGTAGTAGTAGTAGTAGTAGTAGTAGTAGTAGTAGTAGTAGTAGTAGTAGTAAAAAGGTGAGAGTCTATATATCCAAACTGGTGAGATGGCTCAGTGGATAAAGGTGTTGCTGCCAAGCCTGACACCCTGAGTTTGATCCCCAGGACCCATATAGACAAGAACCAACTCCAACTGCAAATTGTCCTCTAACCTCCATACAAATGTACACACAAATACACAAATAAATGCAAAAAAGAGAGAAAAATAAGTCAGTATAACAGCTAGGTGTGGTGATTTATGCCTGTAATCCCAGGATTCAGGAGGCTGAGGCAATAATATAACCAAGTCCAAGGGCAGCCTGAACTACAGAATGAGACCTTGTCTCAAAAATAATAAAAAGAAAAGAAATAAGGGCTGGAGAGATGACTTGGTGGTTAAGAGCACACTGACTGGTCTTCCAAAGGACCCAGGTTCAATTCCCAGCACCCATATGGCAGTTCACACCTGTCTATAGCTCCAGTTCCAGAGGATTCAACACCCTCACATAGACATACATGGAGACAAATCACCAATGCACATAAAATAAAAATAAACCATTCTTTCTAAAAATAGACAACCTCCCTACCCCCCACCAAAAAAAAAAAAAAAAACCAAAGTAATAGTAGTGGTACACATAAATGTTTAGGTTTGGGTGGTTTTTTTTGTTGTTGTTTTAAGGGTGGGATTTTTCACCATGTAACCCAGGCTGGCCTCTAACTCACAGAGGTACATCTCCTCTTCTTCCTAAGCTGGGTTTGAAGGCCCATGTCACTGCCTGGCATCCCATAAGTAAGTAAGTTTGTTTCTGAGACAGGGTCTCAACTATATAACCCTGGCTTTACTATAACACCCTATGTGGACCAGGCTAGCCTCAAACTCACATAGATCCACTTGCTTCTGCCTTCCAGTGCTGGAATTAAAGGTGTTCACCACCCAACTTTCCATAAGTTTTAAAGTAATTGACGGTTGGAGGGGAAATGGAAGCCTATTCATATATTGAACTATTAGATGCATGTTTTCTGTGGAAGTCTGGTGCATTTCAGAGGTTTGGATTAATAACTTTGTTTTATAAATGGGAATATTGCAGCTTTATCAATACAGGACAAAGTCTTAGCCATGCACAAGACTTTGGTTCTTTGTTAAAGACCTCTCCCCTTTTATTCCAGGAGCGTAATCTTTGAAAGAAAGTGATTTCTATTTTGTCTTATATTCTTGGTGTAATATGATCATAAGGAACTTTTTTATTCCATGCTGTTCCATAAGGACTACGTTTTTCCAGTAGTCCATACCTGTATGTGAGTTGTGTTAACAGGCCCTGTCACCTTGTTATCACAGAGGAAGGCAGTGTTGCTTCCACTTCCCAGGTGGGGAAGCTAAAGTCAGTTACTTTAAGAAGGTTTTAGTGATTACAGTCAATTAAAATGTAATCAAATAAAAGAAAAGAGGTGTTGGTTTTCTATATGGGGCTGGCTCACTGGGCTAGAGACCCATGTGATCTCTCCTTTTATCTGTCCCAACAGGCTTCTGATGGAAGCAGCTCCAGAGAAGATCTCTCATCCCAGCTTTTGAGAAGAAATGAACAGATACGGAAGTTAGAGGCCAGACTTTCTGGTATGTGTTAAAAAGCCATAAACAACAGACATAGGACAGATGACCCTCTCCTGATATAAGCCTGCTTTGTAGGGTAACTATAGTAACTTCCACACAGCATTTAATCTCCTTAGTCAGAAAGAAAAATTCTATGCCCGCTTTTTTGCCTTGATTCTTTTTTTAATTTTAGCATAGTGAATATTGTAAATTCAAACTGAATTTGAAAGCTTATTTTTAAAAGCTACTGTTTTCTGCTCCTGCGGTTTCTAGCCATGGCTATAAAAAGTGTTTAAAGTTCATATAGAGGCTGGTAGGGTGGTGCAGACCTTTAATAACAGTACTTAGGGAGACAGGAAGATTCTAAGTTTAAGGCCAACCTAGGCTACATAGCACGATGCTAGGTGGGTGGGGTTGGGAGGGTCAGCGCGCCTGCTGAGTTTGATCCCTGGGACCCACATGGAGGGAAGAGAACAAGCTCCTGCAAGCTGTCCTCTAATCTTCACATATATGCATGTATACACAAAATAAAAAAAATGAAGTTTGAAGAATTTTTTTAAATTTATTTCAATTTATTTTACATGCATTGGTGTGAAGGTGTCAGTTGAGCTGGAGTTACAGACAGTTGTGAGCTGTCATATGGGTGATGGAAATTGAACTTGGATTCTTTGGAAGAGCAGCCAGTGCTCTTAACCACTGAACCATCTCTCCAGCCCCTGAAGAACCTTTTTTTAATTTTTAAATGAGGAAATGTGTTTACAATAGATTTGGCCATGTTCCACTGTTAGCATATCTTATTTTCAGGTAGAAATTTATAGGAACTACTCTGTCTATTAGGGATGATCAGCAGGTGTTGATGCTGGGCTGCTACTTGGTGTAGCTCACATCACCTATGGGAGTCTTGCTCCAGGACTTGGGGCCACTTTTCTATAGTTTTCCTGATTTTAATACGTGCTTCTTTAGAATTGTATTTAGATGTAATTCTCTTTACATCTCTGTCTTAGTTACTGTACTGTTGGCTGTGAAGAGACACTATAACCAAGGCAACTCTAAAAAAGAAAGCATTTAATTGGGGGCTTGCTTACAGTTTCAAGAGATTAGTCCATTATCGTCATGGCAGGGAGCATGGCAGCAGACATGCATGGTGCTAGAGAAGTAGCTGAGAGCTACATCCTGATCCAAAAGAAAGGAGAAAATGGCCCTGGTGAGGGCTTTGAAATCTCAAAGCACACCCCCAGTGACATACCTCCTCCAACAGGGTCACACCTACTACAGCAAGGCCATATCTCCTAATCTCTCTCAAATATATGAGCCTATGGAGGCCATTCTTTTTTTGTTTTGGAGTGTGTGTGTGTGTGTGTGTGTGTGTGTGTGTGTGTGTGTGTGTGTGTGTGTGTGTATTTTAAGACAGGATTTCTTTGTATAACAGTCCTGGAACTCGCTCTGTAGACCAGGCTGGCCCTGAACTCACAGAGATCCACTTGCCTCTGATTCCCAAGTGCTGGGATTAAAGGTGTGCACCCCCCCACACCCAGCTGGAAACCATTCTTATTGAAACCACCACAATCTATTCAGTTTATAGTTTACACCGCTCCCATTACCTCCTTTTCCTGAGCAAGGCATGTTCACGATAGAAATGGGAGTTTTTATATTGGTTTTTGACAGAGAACACACTTTGATAGCTTCATCCTGTGATGTGGTCCATGGTTTATGTGTATCCTTTTGCTCCTTTGCCTTATACCTATTTAATTGGGGTTAAAAACAATAAACCAAAATTCACTGGGTTGTATGTGAAATGGGTTTGTTTAGCTATCAAGAATCCAAAGTATTGTTCACACTAGTTTTGTCTTCAGGATCAGCTTCTTGGGGTCAGCAAGATAAGGCACACAGGTAGTGAATGGTAAAGCTGGGATTCAAACTAAGATCCAAGCTCCAAATTGTCTGCTTAAGTCAGTTGTTACTGTCTTGTACACCTATCTGTAAAGTCGGTTGTTCTTTCTTGATCCCTATAAACAACACCAGTAACAGAAGTGAAATAACTGTTGCTTAACATTTAGAGAGTTGACATTTATCAGCCCATTTAACATCTTAGGCATTGTCACTGGCCTCCTATGAGTAATAACAATGGCAGCTATGTTTTATTCATCACTGTGTGCCAAGCACTTAATGCATACAAATTAATTTAATGCTTCCTTTGAAGTAGATGTGATTAGGTCAGGCATGTAATTAGGCGCACACTTTTAATTCCAGCACTTCGGAGGCAGAGGAAGGTGGATCTCTGAGTTTGAAGCCAGCCAGATATACAGAGGAAGTTCCAGGACAGCCAGGGCAGAGAAATTCTGTCTGAGAGAGAGAGAGAGACAGAGAGACAGAGACAGGGAGAGACAGGGGGGGAGGGGGAGGAGGGGGAGAGAGAGAGAGAGAGAGAGAGAGAGAGAGAGAGAGAGAGAGAGAGAGAGAATGATTAATATCAGTTAACATATGAAGAGACTAATATTCCAGGTCAGTAATTTACTTAAACCCTAGCTAAGAATTGACAGAGTTGGAATTTGAACTGCTTCTTCTTTTATACTATATCATACTATTTTCTTTGGATCCCCAGGTAATTCTTTCACCTTTGAGGTGACATTGGTCACCTGTAGAAAGGGAGCACACTTGTCTAGAGAATTAAGCACCTGCACCATAAAGGCAGTTCTATGCTTAGGTGTTTGCTGTTTACCTAACCACTGCTGCTCAGCTGTATGATCTACAAGTGAGCTTTTAGTGAATACCCTTGATCTGCCATACTGCTAAGGGCAACAGGGAATGGAAACTGTCTTAGTCACTGTTCTATTGCTGTGAAGAGACACCATGACCAAAGCAACTCTTACACACATACACACACATACACATACATACTTCCAACAAGGCCACACCTCCTAGTCCTCACAATCATTCTTAAATAGTGCCACTACCTGAAAACTAAGCATTCAAATATATGAGCCTATGGGGGACATTCTTATTCAAACCACCACAGGAACACTGAGACTTAGAACTGAGTAATGAAGATTATGGTGGGTTTTTCATAGCAGGGAACTTCTGTGACCAGACCTGGCCTAATTGTTGTTGTTCTCTGTCAAGGCTAAACAAATCTACTTGTTTGTACTCACTGTTTCTACCATGGAAAGTTTGTACTATTCCTGTTTGCCTGTGTCATTCATTGTTAGTGGAGGCTTTTTACCTAGCTTTCCTTAACAGGACTGGTTTTCAGGTTAAGAAAATCATCATCATTTTCATTCATTTTATTTTTTGTTTGTTTGTTTAATTAACTTCCTTTCCTAATGTTTGTCCACTCCTGGTATGTGCATCACCCTCCTCACCCAAGACTATGCTGAACAGGTCCGAAACTTGCAGAAGATAAAAGAGAAGCTTGAAATTGCATTAGAAAAACACCAGGATTGTACGTATTTTTTTTTCCTGCTTTCTTTAATCTTTTCAGGATTTAGCTTTTTTAATGACTTAGTATATTGTTACATGTGTCCATCAGGACTCATATCTCTATTTTATAGTGTTCTTAATCAGATTGATATGATGTTTGACTGAAAGCTACCAAATATAAGCATATATCTGTTGCATTGTGGGCATACTTCTTAAGAGGGGATAATTTTGTGTTCATCTCTGTCCAGCTGATTGCCCTTGGATGATTTTGGTATAGTCTAGTACCTAGCCCTTGAGTCTAAACTAGGAGAATATTCTCAATGTAGCTTCATTACTGTTATATTGACTAACTGTGGGAAAGCTCTAACATATATTTTGTTAAATTACCCTATCCCAACTCATATTTTCCTTGGGTATTGTCATCTAAGGAAGATGCTACAGGGAGAAGAAAGAAAACTAAAGAATGTTTTTGTTTTGTTATAGTTGTTGCTGGTTTTGATTTTGTTTTCCTTTTTTATTTTTTTCCGAGATAGGGTTTCACTGTGTAGTTTTGGTGCCTGTCCTGGATTTCGCTCTGTAGGCCAGACCTGTCTCTGCCTCCCGAGTGCTGGGATTAAAGGTGTGCACCACTACCACCTAGCCTTTGTTTTTTTCAATTCTGATAAAGAGGTAGCAGCTGTGACTTCACAGCAACCACAGTGGATGGTATTTTCTGCCCACCTACCAGTTTGATGTCTTCACTATTATAGAAGGCAAAGGTGAGGACCCAGACAGCAAACTAAATTCATCTTACCAGGGCAGAAAGGTTGTGGGAAATTGAGTTTTTCACAATCTCATAATCCATTTCTATGAGCTTGCCTTTTTCATTTGGTGGCATTTGTAAACAACTCACATGGACTGTTTGTCATGCTGTTTCTGAAGTATTTCCATATCTCAAATAGAGCCTCTTTGTTAACAGCTTCCATGCGGAAATTCCAAGAGCAGAATGAGACATTCCAAGCCAACAGAGCCAAAATGGCAGAAGGACTGGCTTTGGCATTAGCCAGGAAGGACCAGGTATTTTATATGTGGTACTCCCCAAGGCTAGGAAAAGATTTCATTTAGGGACTTGACTTAAAAATCATGACACAGACCTGGTAAAAGTCGTTACAACATAGAAGGAAAGGAGTGAATATAAGTTTTTTGTGTTTTGTTTTTTTTTTTAAGATTTATCTATTATTATGTGCATTGGTGTTTTGCCTGCATGTATGTCTGTGTGGGGGTGCCAGATCCACTGGAACTGGAGTTACAGACAGCTGTGAGCTGCCATGTGGTTGCTGGGAATTGAACCCAGGTCCTCTGGAAGAGCAGCCAGTGCTCTCAGCTGTTAAGCCAATAAGTTCTTTAAGGATTCATTTGACCTTTTCTTATGAAGCCTGACTTGACACTTTAATCACGAAGTGTGTCCAGAATTCTCTCTGTGTGCATTTTTGTAAAATAGAGACAGAAACCGATGTGTCCATAATCTACTAGTTAGCCTACAAATAAGTAAAGGGTCTCACCCTCTAAAAAGTTGTCCCCCATCCTACACCCACAAACACCTCCCTCTTCCAGTGTAAGACGCTGTCACACTAGTCACAGCAGTTCACATAACCCTTCTGACCCCTTCTCCCAAACCAAATATGGGCAGAAAGAGACTCTTGATCTCCATGGAAACAGCTACTGAGAGATGCTAAGTGAATAGCAACAAACAGTAGTCAAGTAAGCCAGCTGTGGTGTGCTCTTCTACTCTCAACACTTAGGTGCATACAGGAGGATCAGGTGTTCAAGGACAGCCTAGACTGGATGAACCCTGTTTCCAAAGAAAGGAAAAGCAATAATAAATTAAGACAAAACAAAAAATTTAAAAGGGGAAAATAATACTACTATAGTAGCTATGGGGTGTGTTTTGTTTGATATAGTGAGTAGTATTTTGAGTCTTGTGGTTGTTATTTGGGTTTTGTTTGTGTGCTTGACTGTTTGTTTGAGTTTTTTCGAGGCAGGCTTTCTCTGTGTAGCCCTGGCTGTCCTGGAACTTACTCTATAGACCAGGCTGGCCTCCAACTCAGAGATCTGACTGCCTCTGCCTCCTGAGTGCTGGGATTAAAGGCGTGTGCCACCTCTGCCCTGCTAGTCAGTAGTGTTTTAAATTAGGGTGAGCATCAGTATTTTATAGTGATGATCCTGTAGATAAGTGGTTTGTTTGTTTTAAAGTATAAGTATAAAAGCATAAATATAAAAGTGTAAGTATAAATATAAAAGCATCATTTACAACTATCTAATAGATAGCTATGGTGTGAATGTATGTAAATATGAGAAAAAAATCTAAAAGTAATATATTCTGATTAGCACCTGTTGAGCTTGGTCCTTTTGTACCAATGTTATTTTCCTTATATTCTGTGGTTTGTGAATAAGGAGTGTAATATCCTCTCTCCTTTGTCATACACCAGAGTCTCAAGCCAAGGGAGCGGATTGTTACCAAATACTGTTGATCATGCTCCTCTAGACTTTCAGTAAGTTGATGTCTAAACATCAGCTGTGTGACCCAACTCAGTGGCTCCTAGCTGCCCACTCAGAAGTTATAGCAGTGTTCGTTGACAACTGGAAGAATAGCAGAGCTTGAGTGTCCTGAGCGGACACCTGCAGGCTGTACTGTGTTCTAGAACTTTATGTAAAGTGTATCTTCCTTTTCTTTTGGGACATTTAGCTTTCTTAATATTGAACCAGTTTTATGGGTATTTTTTGCTTGTTTATGTTACTGTTTATCATTCCCTTTTTTGGTTGATTGATAGCTTTTAGGAGAAAGTTGTTTTCTGAGAGTCTCGATATTGTAGATTCTTCTCCCTGGAAACTGTTTCTTTTGTTTTGTTTTAGGAATGGTCAGAAAAGATGGACCAGCTTGAAAAGGTTAGTCATCTTTGTTGTATGCATGATAGCATTATCTCTGAGGCTTAGGAAATGTTTTCTCCAGCCAGACCTAGTTAGTAAAGGCTTGTAACCCCAGCTACTTGGTAGACTGAAGCAGGAGAATTTCAGGGTCAAGCCTGCCCTGGCTATAGCGTAAATTCAAGGCCAGCCCAAGCAACAAAGAAAACAACAAAGATTGCTTATTAAATTCGTATATATGTTATGTGTGTCTGTGTGACTATATACTATATGTATGCAGGTGCCCATGGAGGCCAGAAACATTGGATGCCTCCTGGATCTGGAGTCACAATTAGTTGTGAACTACTTGGCTCCTCTGGAGTAGCAGAAAATGCTTTTAACCATTTAAAATTAGAAGTGGGAACTAGCAAGATGGATCAATGTGTAAAGGTGCTTGCTGCCAAGCCTGATGCCTAAGTTCAGTCTCCAGAACCCACATGGTGAAAAGGAGAGAACCATCACCCACAAGTTCTCTGATCTACACATATATACCATGGCACATCTGTGCCATGTTTACATAAACATACACATACACACATAAATAATAAACATTAATAAAAGTAAATCTCACATATTATGCAAAAAGAAAACTTTAAAAAAAAAACTGGGCATATTGATTAGTGATACAGTGCCTGCCTAGCATGTGTAAGGCTCTAGTTTCTTCTTCTTTTTTTTTTTTTCTGGTTTTTCGAGACAGGGTTTCTCTGTGTAGCTTTGCACCTTTCCTGGAGCTCACTCTGTAGCCCCGGCTGGCCTCGAACTCACAGAGATCCGCCTGCCTCTGCCTCCCGAGTGCTGGAATTAAAGGGATGCACTACCACCGCCCTGCAAAGCTCTAGTTTCAATCCCAGAAAACCAAAAGAAAAGGTGGGTAGGGGGTACTGTTTTCCCCAGTACCCAGCTCACAGTACTGGTTGTGGTAGTACCTCCTGGAAGCAGGACACTGAGTGATTGGACTGGCTTCAATAGCCTGCCTCTTACTCTTCCTTAGTGGATATGCTGGGTATCCTTTTTTGGCACTTCCTGCTATACTCCCTGCCCTCATCCTTTTCCTTATTTTCCTGAAGGTGATGACATCACCTGGGCTTGGTACCTTCTGGCTTTGAGTGGCCACTTGAGAACACCAGAAGAATGATGATGGAAAGCGTATAATTCATATTTTTATTCCTCAGCTTTGTCCACATGTGGTTCCTTGGATTTCCTTAATCCCATGGTCAAAACTTTTAAGCTTCCATTGGCCTATTGGTTCAGAGGGACACTCTGAGATGGCTTTTCTCATAACCACTCCCTCTTTTTTAGTGCCCTAACAGTTTACCTAACAGTTACTACTATATTATTTCCATAGATATCTTTACTTACAAATTTGGTAAATTCTTTTATTAAACCATTCTCAAAATCCCTAAATTGACTCTGCTATCTGTTTGCTTGTGGCCCCTGATTGACCCTGTAGTCACATCGGGAATTCTGCCTAACAAAACAGGAGAAACCAGAACGTTTCTCAAGGCTTATCACTAAGGAAGTAAGAGAGCCTCTTGGATAGACAGAGATGAGATGATTCTGCTAGGACCATTGTTCCCTGGCTTCATATGCAGCTAGTTGCTACATAGCGAAGGCCTGTCTCAAAATAATGGCTGAGGGCTGGAGTGATGGGGAAAAGCTCTCGTGGCCAAGTCTGTCGGCCTGAGTTTGATCCCTGGAGCCCACAGATTATTGTTTGACCTCACACGTGTTATGGCACGTATGTATGTGTCTGCAGACATACAATTTAAAATGTTCTGCTTGTACAATACAGATTTCTAGTACTTGGGTTGCCTAACTTGGTGTCTTCTTGCAAACAGGATAAAAGGTTTCTGACAACTCAGCTACAGGAAATGAAGAACCAGAGCCTGAGCCTTTTTCAAAAGAGAGATGAAATTGATGAGTTAGAGGGGTTCCAGCAACAGGAAATCAGCAAAGTAAAGCACATGGTAGGTATTTCTGTTTCAGTAGCTCAGTAATAGTACCATGAAGCAATGAGTCCTTATGCCTCAAGAAGTCATCACTCTCATGACTGTAAACACCCTCCTAGTCTTTGATACTAACCACATTGCAATGTTTTCAGATTTATTAAAAGTGGGAAAGTTCTGTTTGAAATGTATCCTTTTTACCTTCTATCTGTGTAAGTACTACACATTAAGCCCAATTCTCATCCCACAGAAATATCATTCTTCTCTTTTTCTTTCTCTGTGTATGTGGGGTTGTGGGTGTGGTGAAATAGAGGCATGGGGTGGGGGGCAGCAAGGGCATGTATTTGCCACAGCATTGGTGTGGAGGTCAAAGGACAACTTTCAGGAGTCCATTCTCTCTTTCATGGGATCTAGGGATTGAATTCAGGTGGTCAAGCTTGTGCAGCAAATTCCTATACCCACTGAGCCATCTCAATGGTCTGGTCATGTATTCAAATTGTGTTTCTTAGCGGTGGCCTAATGGGACCTTATGTCTTCTTATCAGCTTCTAAAGAAAGAAGAATGCTTGGGGAAAATGGAGCAAGAGTTGGAGGCACGAACCAGAGAACTTAACCGCACTCAGGAGGAGTTGATGACTTCCAATCAGATGTCATCTGGCTTAAACCAGCAGCTAGAAGAATTGCAGAGACACTGCTCAACGCTGGAAGAACAGAGGTTCTTGCTTGGTCTGTGGGGCCTTTGGGAGAGGTGTTGGTATAGCATTGCTATAGCCTACCCACATGTCCCCATTGCTCATCTCAACTTTCTGATCTCAGGGCTGGCAAAGGCTTCTGCATTTGTTCCTATGTGGCTAGGCCTCAGGCCCTCCATGCCATCACAGCACTGGCTCTCTCCCTCACCCTCGTAGGCATAAGTCCATTCCATTCCTGCTGAGCAGTAGAATCTGATTTGATTTGTAAGGTTATTGAGTACTCAAAGACAGATCAGAATTCCTTGCTTAGACCTTGGTGGTCTTCCTGCTTCTGCTTCTGAAAGCCAAGGAGCTTTTTCACAAAGATAAACTTACTGTGCATCCTTCCTTCGGAGAGTGTGTCATAGAGGAAATACCAGAATTTGCTCATTGTCTGCTTTCTTTCCATGAAGAGATCGTGTGACATCTTCAAAAGCATGTGCAGAACATAAGATTGTAGTCCTGGAACAAAAGGAACAAGAGCTCCAAGCGTTCATTCAGCAGCTTTCCATTGACTTGCAAAAGGTAAACACAGGAGCATGAGTAGGAATCTCCTTCTGCTGGAGTGTGTGTTGCCCATGTGGACCATGTGTCCTACTTCCTGTTCTAGCCAAGCTGCACTCATGTGGGGCAGCTACTCAGTTACATAGATTGCTTAACAGAAAAGACAGTATTTCTAGGTGTGGTGGTACATACCTGTAATCTAGGGACTTTAGACACTAAGACAGGTTTACTGGCCCTAGACATTAGAGGCTGGCTTTGAAAACAATGTGAAACCACCAATTTTTATATATAATATTTATTAAAGTTGAAGAGATGAAGGAGGAAAAGAAAAATAGTATCCTAACAGGAATTCTCAAAGCATAATATTTGTTTTATTTTGTTTTTGATTGGTGGTCTAAATTGCTTAGAGTGATTTAGAACTTGGAATTCTCCAACTTCAGTCTCCCAAGTAGCTGAGATTAAAAGCTTGGGCCACTGTACCCATATAAAGTTTGTCACTTATTTGTTCTACCCATTCCTATGGGCCTGAAAGTATAGTGCAACTGTAGAGCACTTGCTTAGCATAAGGCCCTGAGTTCAATCCCTATTACCTTAAAGAAAAATAGTATTATGTCTTAAAGTACCACATAATAAACCTTGAATAGAAGAACATGGAACAGTCACTGGCATGGCCACAGTTATATTAGGATTTACATCATTTTTTAGTTTTGTTTTTCATTTGGCTGTAAGACATTTTATTGCCCAGTAGGCAAAAACCATAGGCCTATGTTAAATTCTGAGAACAAATAGATGAACAATAATAACTAAGTATGAAAGACTATTCTTTATTTTTTACATTCGTGTGTGTGTGTGTGTGTGTGTGTGTGTGTGTGTGTGTGTGTGTGTGTGCATGCAAAGTCAAACCACCATTTTCTCTCCACTACATAGTTCCTGAGAATCAAACTAGGTCATAAGGCTTGGTGGCAGGCCTTAACCTGCTGAGCTACATCAGCCCTGAAGGACTACTATATCCAGTTCTTTCCATACTATATGTATTTTAAAGGTTAGTGGGGTGGGGGAGGGTATTTTATGTGTGTAAGTGCTCTGTCTGCATGAGCACCTGCACACCAGAAGAGGGCGTCAGGTCCCATTGTAGATGGCTGTGAGCCACCATGTGGGTGCTGGGAATTGAACTCAGGACCTCTGAAGGAGCAGCCATCACTCTTAACTGCTGAGCCATAGCTCTAGCCACACCCAATATATTTTGATCATATTCTTTCCCCTCCTCCAACTCCTTACAGATCCCCCCACCCCTCCTTACCTACCCAACTTCATGTTCTTTTTCTCTCTGTTTTTCTGTCATTAGTTTACTTACAATCTTATCTAGTATAACCATTTTACTCCATTTTTCAGAGATTGCTTCTTTTTTTTTTTTTTTTTTTTTGTTTTTGTTTTGTTTTTCGAGACAGGGTTTCTCTGTGTAGCTTTGCGCCTTTCCTGGAACTCGCTTTGGAGACCAGGCTGGCCTCGAACTCACAGAGATCCGCCTGGCTCTGCCTCCCGAGTGCTGGGATTAAAGGCGTGCGCCACCACCGCCCGGCTTTTTTTTTTTTTTTTTTTTTTTATTGGAGCCTGTCCTGGAACTTGCTCTGAAGAGTTCCAGGCTAGCTTCAAACACAGAGAACTGCCTGCCTCTGCCTCCAAAGTGCTAGGATTAAAGGCATTCACCACCACTGGCTGGCCAGAGATTGCTTCTTGTAAATATTCTTCATGTCTGTTAAAAGGATGAATTAAGCATCCTTATATCTTAAGTAGCTGGTGCCTTACTATAAAGAAAGGTGCAGCAAATATAGATCCAGAGTATATGGTCCTCATAGCCCGCAACCACCTCTTGTCTTCCATGGAAAATGTCAGATTCTTCTCTGGGCCTCCTAGTAGTGGCTGTGACAGGCCCTGGAGGAGATGAACCTCCAGATGCTCTGGCCCCACGAGGCTTTGCTGGAAACTTATCAAGGTGTGCAGAGACAAAAAGGAGGGCTATCCTTTTTTTTTTTTTTTTTTTTTTTTTTTTTTTGGTTTTTCAAGACAGGGTTTCTCTGTGTAGTTTTTGGTGCCTGTCCTGGATCTCACTCTGTAGACCAGGCTGGCCAGAGATCCTCCTGGCTCACAGAGATCCTCCTGGCTCTGCCTCCCGAGTGCTGGGATTAAAGGCGTACACCACCACTGCCTGGCCCCACCTTTTCTGTTTTTAAGACAGAGTCTCATTATTGCCTTGGCTGACTTAAAACTGACCTGGAACTTGAAGGTTGTTCTTTGTCTTACAAGTGCTGGGATACAAGACATGCACTGCCACACCTGCTCATCATCTTTTTTATAATTGAGAAAAAAGGCCCAGGAAGGTCAAGCCTGTAGTTAGAAAATTCCATCCTTTCTGAAAATCCTGAGACTTCCTATGTGCTTGGCTATATGCTGGCTATTAGAAATACCATGGTGAGCAGAACAGATACTGCTCCTGCCTGTTTAGTGCCTACAGTCTTGACAGTCAACAAATTTTACCAGTAATAGCATGAGTATATAATTACTGACTTTGACAAGTGCACTGAAGGAAGACTGAGATGCTGTGGGAGCCTGTACAAGGTATCAGCACATTGGGATCAGATGATCTCCGTCAAGTAGTGGTGCCTGATAATTCCCTGCTGGAGTTGGAAGGGAAGGACGAAGGGATAGAATCTCAGTCAGGAAACAGCATGAGCAAAAACCCTGAGATAAGTAAAGAAACTGGCACCTTAAGGATGTGGAGGAGAGCTTGAAGGGTGCTACAGCATAGAAGAGTGGACTCATCTGACTGTAGGAGAAGGCATACTGAAAGGACCTTCCCTTTCAAAAAAAATAATAATGATGATTTGCTGTTTGTCCAATTGTGAAGTGATGATGGCTTAAATTTTTTATTTATTTTTTATTCATATGTGTGTTTGTGTATGTGTTGGTAAACACGTGCCATGGCACATATGTGGAGGTCAGATGACAACCTTCAGGAGTCAGTTCTCTCCTTCCAACATGTGGGTTTTAGGGATTGAACTCGGGTTGTAAGGCTTAACAGCAGGTGCCTTTACCTACTAAGACATCTCACCAGCCCATGATGGTAGCGTTGCTAAGAGTGATGGCAAATGGAGGCTGGACAACTTAAGAAATAATGAGGAGATTGGCAAAACTGGATTCCTTGGTTCCTGGCTTGAGCATCTTAGTTGCTGATACTGCCAGTCGTAACTCAGAGAGCACTACAGGAAGGTCAGTGAGTACCAAGGTCCTAAGTTTAGAGTAGGTTTTTATTGTTGTTAATACCCAGATATGACTTTATAAACTTTACAGATGTATAAAAATAAGGATGAGGTTAAAAAAAGTGTAACAAACTGCCAACTCCCTGTGTGTGTGTGTTCTTCAGGCTAAAAAAAACCAGTGCTTCGGCACAAAGCTTCTTTGTGTCCTTCACTGTTCTATCCTGTCCTTTCTTCCTTCAGAAATAAGCACATGCTGGCCGTGGTGGCACACACCCTTAATCCCAGCACTTGGGAGGCAGAGGCCCTGTCTCGAAAAAACAAATAATAATAATAATAAATAAGCACAAGCCATAGATTGTTGTTGTTTTTTTAATTTATATTTTATGTTTGAGTGCTCTGCATGTGCACCTGCACACTAGAAGAGGGCATCAGATCCTGTCATAGATGGTTATGAGCCACCACCATGTGGTTGCTGAGAATTGAACTCAGGATTGCTGGAAGAGCAGCCAGTGCTCTTAAGATCTGAGACATCTCTCCAGCCCCCTACCAGAGATTGTTTTAATTCTTGCTTTGTTTTATATATTTTTTTTGTTTTTGTTTTTTGTTTTTTGTTTTTCGAGACAAGGTTTCTCTGTGTAGCTTTGCGCCTTTCCTGGAACTCGCTTTGGAGACCAGGCTGGCCTCGAACTCACAGAGATCCGCCTGGCTCTGCCTCCCGAGTGCTGGGATTAAAGGCGTGCGCCACCACCACCCAGCATGTTTTATATTTTTACCATATTTGATACCTATACAGTATCTTCATTTGTTCTCATCCTTCTTAGTATTATATAAATGAAATCATGCTGTAAGTATGCTAAATCCTGCTGTTTTGTTAAAACAAAGTTGAGCTCACTATGTCGACCAGGCTGGCCATCTGTTCACAAAGATCCAACTGCCTCTGCCTTCTGAGTGCTGGGATTAAGTCGTGCACCACCACACCCACCCCACTTCTCTATCCCCAATCTTCACATAGCTCTTATTTTAGGCCCATACCTGTGTGGTTCAGATGTGACTAGAGAATAGATAAAGAGGGAGACTTAGGAAGTAAGCAGGTTTGGCAGCAGGGATTGTGTTTGGTAGTAGTTCCATTAGTCAGCCCCAGGTGTTGAAGACCTGATGTAGCACAACCAGACTGTACTATAGGATGCAATCCATAAGAAGACTAGCTGGAGTTTTGGCAACTTGATTCTTTTTCTGACCCCAACTTCATGCTCTACCTAGCCAACACAGTAACTTGTGTAAGATGGTTGGTCTTCAGTGGGAAGGGTCGCCCTCAAGTGTCCCTCAACTTCAGAGTGAACAGCAGAACAAGTGCAGGCTTAGAGCCTGAAGACCAGTCTGAACCCTTACTGTGTTGCTGAGAGATCTGTCAGTTTTCTTGTAACACAAACGCAATGAAGAGTGGTTATAAGGACTAGAGATAATGGGAAATGCTTGTACATGCTTGCATACTGGAGCTGCTGCTGGTGTGGCTGAACCATGCTTCTTGCAAGTATTACTATTGCCCTGATTTGCATTATAATGAGAGATCTATAGGATATATCATTATGAGCAAAGTTGTTTTACTTTTTTGTCTTAACATTCATCTCTCTTGTGTTATCTACTTTCTGAATATTGCCATTTACCTCAGCATCTGAGCCACAGGTTTCAGGTGTGTCTTCAGCCTTTCTGGCCTCCTGCACCAAGTTTCCTGATCCGGTGAACTTGTCTTAGCTCTTTGCATATTTTGTTTGTTCTAGTAAAACAACTTTAAGGGTGAAAGAATTTATTTTAGCTTATAATTTCAGGTTACAGTTTATCTTAGTTGGTGTTCTATTGCTGTGAAGATACACCATGACCAAAGCAACTCTTATAAAAGAAAACATTTAATTGGGGGCTTACTTACAGTTTCAGAGGCATAGTGCATTATCCTGGCCAGGAGCATGACAGCATGCAGGCAGACCTACAGCAGTAGTTGAGAGCTACATCCTGGTCCATAAACAGAAAGAGAGAGACTGGGCTTGGCATGGGCTTTTGAATCCTCAAAGCCCACTCAGTGACACACTTTCTTTAATAAAGTCACACCTCCTTATCCTTGTAATCCTTTCAAACAACTCTACTCCCTGATGACTAAGCATTCAAATATATGAACCTATGGGGACATTTTTATTCAAACCACCACATAGTCCATTATTGAGGAGAAGTTAAGATGGCCAGTTGCATTATATTCACCGTCAAGAGCAAAGAGAAATAATGCATGCGTGCTCACTTGTGCTCAGCCCCCTCTCTATACTTACATGGTCCAAGACCTAAAGCTAGGGACTGGGCTAGTTTTTCAATTAATGTAGTCAAGACAATCTCCCACAAACATGCCCACAGACCCACTTGATGCAGACAATCCCTCACTGAGACTATTCCAGTGTGATTTTAGATTGTGCCAACTTGACAAACCATTATACTGCTCTCTACCCACAATTCTGTTTCCTCTCCTGCCTCTATGTACCAGAACTTGCCTGTTTGGGAGGCCTAGTCTGAGTATCTCAAATAGTTGCTCCCTACTGCCTTTGCTTTCTCAAGCACTTTGTATATCATTGTCTTATAGGATAATTATGTTACTTTATAGTTACTTATATGAATAGGTATCTGTCTCTACTTCCAGAGACCAGGCTTCTTGCTTTTGTGGGTCAGAACCTGTATATTCTTGGAAGGCAACAGATAATGTTTAGGCCTGACAAAAGTTTGTTTTGTTTTGTTTTTTTAATTGTGGGGTTGTACATCCATTCTTCAGAGTCCTCCCATTCAATCTTGCTTTCACTGGTAACAGTTGAGAATGGCAAATACTTCTCCAACACCCTATACTCAGAGCTGCGTCTTCCTGAGGAGAGATTGACCCAAGTTGAACATGTCTGTGGCTTGAGCTGAAGCAATGGAAGTATAAGCATGGCATGCAAGGGAGCAGAGTGAGTGTGAAGAGTGTGCACACCACTGTTAAAGCCTGGCACCCTGCACCTTTCTGGGAGAGGAGAATGGGCATCCTCAGTGGAAGAAGGACCACCATGGATCTTAGTGCCTGTGTATTCAGAGCTTCCTGGATTCTCGGATATGACATTGAGCAGCATTTGGTGATTGGTGGTGATGAAAGAACCAGCTCCCAACCACCATCACTGCATTCATTGACAGAATGTCAAGCTGAAGTGGGCACTGTTCTCAGGCCAAACTGAAATTCACGGTGGCGCTGTTAGTTCCTGTCATTTGTTTCAGAAGTTCTCTTGTTGGCCTTAAAGCAGTTATCTCAGCTTTATCCCTGCTGTGCCCAGCTCTTTTTTTTCCCAAGAACATCATTATGGCTTTCTGGTTTGGGATGTTTGTTTATTGTCAGTGTTAGAGATTGGATCCAGGGCCTTAGGAATGTAATTCCAGAGACACTGGGAGCTTCTTCAATGGGATTGGCCTTGCTCCTTCTACCAAGAGAGTAGTTATTTTTTTCTTCCCAGGTTGTCGGGTGCTTAAAGTGAAGATGCTTGCTTCTTGATATATTAGGTCTCCTCATCTGATGCTTGCTTCTTGTTGTGATAGGTCTCTTCCTTTAATGTTCCTGGTTCTCATCTGGCATCTCCACCCCATTTTTAGGAAAGCTTTCTTGGTTGCTTGTTTTTCTCTGATGTGATTGAGCACAGGATTTCAGAGAAGCATGATGATGCAACAGGGCGGAGAAGAGAGGTAGGTAAGAGGGCTTATAGTCGAAAGAAGACTTAAAGAATGACTCTGCTTTCTCCTGCAGGTCACTGCTGAAACTCAAGAGAAAGAAAATATTATCGCACATTTGCAAGAAAAGGTTATATCCTTGGAAAAGAGACTAGAACAGAATTTATCAGGAGAAGATCATATACAAGAACTCTTGAAAGAGGTAATGTCTCCTCATGCTGACCAGTGTTAGAAAGGCATGGTGATGCTGGTTGTTGCATATGTTCTGAGTTTCTGATCTGGAGGATTAGATGACAGCTCTCTGCAACTAAGTATAGCTCTTTTGGGCCCCAAACTCCTGGGCTCAAGCTGTCCTTCAACCTAAATTCCTGAGTAGCTGAGACTATAGGCACATACCATGACACCTGGCTTATGCAACTTTGGATTGACATCAAAAATAGCCTTTAGGGGGCCAGGTGTTGGTGGTAGTACATACCTTTAATCCCAGCACTCAGGAGGCAGAGGCAGTCGGAACTCTGTGAGTTCAAGACCAGCTTGGTCTACAAAGGGAGTTAGTTCAAGGACAGCCAGAGCTAAACACAGAGAAACCCTGGCAGGGCTGGGCAGTGTGTCCCAATTATTAGACTGCTTGCCTAGCATGTACAAAGCCCTGAATTGAGTCGCCAGCACTCCATAAACCAGGTGTGGAAGTACATGTCTGTAATTCCATAATTTAGAAGGTAAAAGCAAAAGAATCGGGGAAATTTAGGGTCATACTTGACTACACAGTGAGTTTGAGGGTAGCCTAGGCTACATGAGACCCTACCTCAAAATAAAAATCAACATGTTCCCTGTATGTTTCTCAGAAAAGGGGAGAGCTTTGTTCACGCAGCTACATGATGACTGATGCTACCTAGGCTGTCTTGTCTTGCTGCACTGTTTCCTTCCCTATACTCCCCCGACCTCCACCTCTACTGTCAAGGGAAATTATCACCAGTCCTTTAGCTTGAGCAAGAACTACCTTGCGTCATAGGCTTCCTTTGGCTGGGAGAGCTGTTAACAGACTGACCTTATGCCATAGTAGAGATAAACTTCCTCTCCTCTTTGTAGCCCAGTGATTGCCTCCTCGTGACAAAGTTGACAAAGCCATGAGCTTTGAGCTTATCCTAGACTTCACTGTCTATCAGGCCAAGCTTCTCCTTCTCTCCAGCCACTGTGGTACTCCAGAGCTTCCTGAAGCACTAACTGAAGGTGCATTGAAGTCTCCAGGCTGGCCACCCAGCACCAGTCTCTCCTTCACCTTCATCACTCCTACAAAACTAACCTTAGCCAGGCAGTGGTGGCGCACGCCTTAATCCCAGCACTCAGGAGGCAGAGCCAGGTGTATCTCTGTGAGTTCGAGGCCAGCCTGGGCTACAGAGTGAGTTCCAGGAAAGGCGCAAAGCTACACAGAGAAACCCTGTCTCAAAAAACACACACACACACAAAAAGCAAAACTAACCTTACCAACCTGTATTTCTGATCATATCATTCCCTTGTACATCTTCCACAATTCCCTTAGACATCTACATTTAGTATAAGATGGATTCTAGTGTTTAAGTTGGTTTCTAGAGGCAAGCATCTGTGTTTATATCTTGTGTTTAGTCATTGTGACTTAAAGCAAGTAACTTAATCTCTTCGTATTGTCTTCTCTATAAAATTAGGTTATAGTGTGTCAAACTTGATGAAATCAGAGTAAAAATTGAAGCATACGTAGGTATTATTATTGTTGTTGTTCCATAATCAACTAATATTAAAGAGTGAGTAGGAATTACTTGGGAGTTTGTTTAAAGCATATATCTCTAGTCCTTTTCCCAGAAATGCTGACATCCACTTGTCTAGAATAAGACCTCATGTTTAGCCAGGATCTATAGTAAAGCTAATGCCAGGTTTTGAAAGATCTGTTTGAAAAATTTCTGCCTGCAAAGTAAAGTAAAATTTTGCAGCACTAAAGAGTTCCTCATCATCTGACCCTTTTGACCCAGTTTGATTTATTGACCTAAGCCCATCATCACTTTGGCTTCTGAGGAGTCTCACTATGTGGCCCAAGCTGGCCTCAAACTCAGAGATCTGCCTCCTTTTGCCTCCTGAGTGCTGAGATTAAATGCATGCACCACTGCACCCGGCTTCTAGTGTATGCTTTTGTTGTTAGTCATTTGTCCCAGCCTTTATCCCAGTGTCCTCTATAATATGTGAATTATATCTAACTTTGCTATGGCTTTATCTATTCATGTCTCCTATGCCCAGCACAAATGTTACAGCATCAATAAATACTCATTAAATGTAGAAACAACTCCTTTCTCTTACTTATCTATTAACTTACAGAGAACAGTTGTGGAACAGAATCTAGAAGACACTAGGCAGCAACTCTTGGCTGCCAGGAGCAGCCACACCAAGGCCATTGACCTTCTGGAGACTCGGGTATGACCTCACTCCAGTATTTGCTGTGATGTGTATAACCTGGTTAGAAGGCGGTTTAGCTAAGAAGTCCGTGTTCAAAGCATCTCCATTCCAAGGATAGGTTTTTGGTGGGGTTGAAGAGTTGTTTTGTTTACTCTACTGCATTTCTTAGCTCCCAGCATGGATATTACACAGTCTTGGTTTTGGTTTATTTGTTTGCCAGTTTAGTGACTGTGAAGTGATAGTTCATTATGTTTACTACTGTAGTTATTAATGAGCTTTCACCTGCTCTAATTTTAAATCATGCATTAAACCTTCCCAGCTTCTTGTGAACAGAAAGAATGTTTCTGTTTCCCCTCAGGTGAAGGATCTAGAGCAAAGCCTACAGGCCACTGAGGAGCAGCTGAGCCAGAGCAGAGATGCTGTGGCTGCCCAGGAAGCCCAGATCCAGAAGCTTGTAAGTGTTCACCATGTGCCAGGCTCCAGTGAGTTCCTTCAACACCTTTGCAGATGCCCCAGATGTGCACCTGTGCCTGCAACAGTATCTGTACTTGATGGGAACAAAGCAAGGGATGGGAGAGTTACTCTGGAGGGTCAGTGTTACCCAGAACCATGGACTAACTGGTAGTCTCCACCCAAAATCTGCTTTTGTTGATGATCCTGCCCTGTTGTGGGTCCTCAAAATTTCAAAGCTTAGCTTTCAGCAGAGCTATGGAAAACAGCTATGAAATGAGCAGAGTATGGTGACACATTCCCTTAATCCCAGCATATGCAAAACTGAGGAAGGCAGGTCTCTCTGAGTTCAAGGACAGCCTGGTGTACATGGTGAGTTCTAGCTAGCCAAGCCTGCATAATGAGAGCCTCTTTTAAAAAGGGGAGGGTTAATGCATTTGGATAGTCATACCCTCAGAGAGCTAATAAATTGGACATAGGGAACTCAAAGCAGCCAGCATTGATTCCCTGTTTGTGGCAACCCTGGCACTGTTTGGGATGTTTGTTACTTAGTCCTTGCAGCACACCTAATAAACTGTCACCATATGTCATGCTCATTCTGTAGAGATGAGCTCAGAAGTGACAAGACTTACGTCTGTCTCGTGTATGTCCCTATTCATTCTCCTGCCTCCCCTAGGAAAACCTCAGCCATAGAGGTCCAGTGAGTAGCTGACGGAGACCTATATCTGAAGACAGGGTGGTGCTCAGCATACACCGTGAACGGTGTGCCAGTGGCATCAGGACAAATGCCAGACTTCAGTTTCCAGGGATGGCCAGACCCAGCAGCAATATGTAGAACATGCAGGTGTTTAAAGCCACACCAGAGCAGCAGAGGTCAAAGAGGGTAGTTTCTGTTAGACAGTCAGAAAAAGGCCCTCCTCTGAAATCTTTATGTCTTGACTAACTGTCCTCTGGTTTTCCTGCAGATCACTACAAACCAAAAGAGCAGCCTTTCTCAACAGCAGGTTCTTGCCCTGGAGCAGCATTGCAGGGAGCGCACCCATGCACTGGAGGCCCAGATTGAAGCTCTGGAACAAACACGGGTGGCCGACCAGATAGCTTCAGAGCAGGGGATGGTGAGTCCATGCAGAGCACTGTGTCACTGCAGTTGAGCAGAGTGGTGCCTCTCTCGGCTGGGAAGCCACTGGAGAAAGCAGTTCACTTCTTCCTACAAGGACTTACCTGCTTAGGTGACTGGAAATAAAAAGACTGCTTTTCACAGAGATGCACAGCAGATGACTTTTCACAGGGACAGTCCCATCAGCTTTTCCCAGTTTTTCATGAAATCCATATTGTTCCTCCCTAATGGCTTCTCCTTTCTATGATCTCTCTGTGTGTCCCACAGTCTTAAGAAGCATGCTATTCTTCCTCAAGAGGAAGAGACTGAGCCTCACACCTGCTAAGGCATGTGCTCTACCACTGAGCCAGTCTCCTGCCCCTGGAGATTTTCAGTGTTTTTCTGCCTTGTCCCCACCCTAGCACTTGCTCTTACATTTACAGCGACCAAAAGAAAAGCCATTTCCCTTATGGAGGCCAGAGATTGTATATCAGCTGCCTTCCTCAGTTGTTCTGTACCTTACTGTGTGAGATGGAATCTCACTGATTCAGCTAGACTAGCTGGCCAGCAAATCCCAGAGATCTAGCAGTCTCTGCCCAGCACTGGGATTGCAGGCGTGCACCACCCCTCACTATTTCCACATGGGTGCTGGGAATCTGAGCTCAGATCCTCATACCTCCCTGGGTACTTCACCAATTTAGCCATTTCCTCAGCCCAGAAAGGCCATTTCAAAACAACTGCCTGAGAGGAAACATGGCAGGTAAGACCTTTTCTTATGTGTGCTCTGCTCAATTTACAGCAACAGCTGCAGCGGGAAAATGTGGCCCTTAAAGAAAGCAAAAATGAATGTGAACGTTCTTTACAACATCACCAATTTGAACTAAAGAAACTAAAGGTATTTATCTAAGAGAATCAGCTTTACAGAAGTTCCTATCTGTCACAAGTTGAGTGGACAGGTGAAAGTCCTACACTTAGAACAAAGAGGAAATGGAAGTTGCTCCTGCTTCAGTACTTCTGTTAGTTATCTGCTCAAGTCTTCCCAGTGACCCAGAAGTAGGAAGAGTTGTGCTTCTTTTGTATGTAAATGCTGTTGAAGCTCTGAGGGCAGTCAGTCCAAGTGCCATAAGTTAGAGGTTGGGCTAGTCTCCTCTATCTGTTCATGCCATTCAAAAGCCTAGCTCTTCCATCGTGTCTTGTCAACAGCTGACTGAAAGCTATGCTATCAGAGCACTCCTCTGGCTTGTTTTTTCAAAAGGACACATAAAGAAGTCCTTAACAGGATGTTTGTGTATGATAGGGACCTTGTACAGAAGTGAACAGTGCTGGGTTGTTGTCTTTTCCCATCTGTGAAGTTAGTGTTTTAATCAGATCTTACTCCTACTGTTCCCTAGACAGAACTGCATGCCTATATTCTGTAGGCCCTCTAGGCTTCCTGGGCCCTTGAGAATAAATTTGGGAGGTGAGTAATGGCAATATTTGTCCAGTTTGGTCCTGGTATCAAGCCTTTGCAGACCTTCTCTCTATCAACATCTATGGCTCGGGGCCTGCCCCTTGCAAGCTCCAAGTAACAGTATCCAATGAGTTGCTTAGGCACTATTGCAATGGTGCTGCATCATGAAAATCACGTATCTTGCAATCAGATTTTCTTTTTTCTATTTAAACTAAGACTCAAACCCAAGGCCTTGTGAATACCAAATAACCACTATAATGCTAAATTATATCCATCACTTTCTATATTTTTACTATGAGACAAAGTCTTACTAAGTTGGTTTAGGCTGGCCTTGAATTTCTCTGTAGCCCAGAGAAGGGTCCTGAACTTGCAGTCACCCTGATTCAACTTCCCAGGTACCTAAAGCCCTGCACCATAAAGCCCAGATTGGAGTAAGTTGTTTTGTTTTTCTGTTTTTTGTTTTGTTTTGTTTTTATTCCATCAGCAGATGTCTGAGTGCCCCTAATTGCCAGGCATCATAGGAGGTGCTGGGATGTGTCAAGAACAAGACAGACAGTCCCTCCTCCATGGAGCATAGAACTAGAAACAGTAAACTAGTTGCAAATAGAGGCAAATGCTGTGAGGAAAACGAAGCCAAAGCTGTGGGAAGGACAGGAGGGAAAGTAACGCTTCTAAGACATTTCAGCAAAAGATATGAACAGTGAGGCCAGCAATGTAGGCATTCAGGGAAAGACTCTGAGGAAGAAGAAAACTTGTTCTGTTCAAAGAACAGCAAGAAGGCCAATGTGGCCAGAGCTGAGTGGCAGGGAGAACAGGTCTGCCAGTACAGAACACAGCAGAAATTAGGAAGTATAATGGAAAGCCATTACAGGGTTTGAGGAGAAAAGCATGGAAGAAGTTTTGTTTTGAAGGGGTTTCTCTAACTATGCACAGAGAAATTTCTGTAAGGAAAGCTTTTAGTAAAAAGGAAAAGATGGTCATGGAACATTTAAGACTTGCCACCAATTGCAGGGAGGAGAAGAGAGGAATGGGCATTAGAGTGACTCCTAGGTTTGGTGTATGGAACTCAGAGTTCCATGGTTTCAGCACTGTTGGCATTTGATTCTTTGTTGTGAGCACCTTGCCACAGACTTGCATTATTGGGACTCTAGGAGTATTTTGGTCTCTGTCCACTAGATGTCAGTAGCCAGCCCACTGATGACAATCAAAAATGTCTTTTGGGGACCAAAATTCCACCTGCCCACAAGTTGGACATTGAGGTAACCGGGCACATAGGGATACCATTCACAGATGTCTAGGACATATCTGGTAATTTTTTTAAATGAAAAGTCATGGCAGAGGTTTAGGGTAAATATAAATTAGGAAAACAGAATAGCAGCTGGGCAGTGGTGGCACACACCTTTGATCCCAATCTTAAGTCCAGCGTGGTCTACAGAGGGATTCAAGGACAACCAGGGATACAGAGAGAAACCCTGTCTCATGGGGGTGGGGGGAGAAAGGAATGAAGGAGAGAGAGAGAAAAAAAAATGTACTTCTGGGCCAAGAATTGTGGTACATTCCTTTAATTCCAGCCTTTGGAAGGCAGAGGCAGAGGCAGGTGGAGCTCTTTAAGTTGGAGGCTAGCCTGGTCTACATAGTGAATTCCAGGACAGCCAGCATTACATACTACATAGAGGCCAGCAATGTAGGCATTCAAAAACAAAAAAGAAAAAAGTCGGGCACAATATTGGGCACCTGTAATTTCAGCACTGGGGAAGCAGATAGATGGATCCCCAGGAGCTTGGAGATCAGCCAGTCAAGCCAAAGCAGTGAGTGTCAGGTTCAATGAGAGACCCTGTCTCAAAAGATAAGATGACAGGTGGTTAAGGTCAACCTCTGGCCTACACACACACACACACACACACACACACACACACACACACACACACAGAGGAACGTGTGTACATACACGCACAACTTAAATAAAATAAAGTATGTGAGAGTCTCTCATTTTTTTAAAAAAAATCATTGAAACCTAAAGTTGATTTTTTTTAAAGATTTTATTTATTGGGGCTGGAGAGATGGCTCACTGGTTAAGAGCACTAGCTGCTCTTCCAGAGGACCCGGGTTCAATTTCCAGCACCCACATGGCAGCTCACAACTGTCTGTAAGTTCAGATCTCCAGGATCTGACACCTTCACACCAATGCATATAAAATAAAGTTAAAATAAATTTAAAAAAAAAAAAGATTTTATTTATTATGTATACAGTGTTCTGTGTATATGCTTGCACACCAGAAGAGGGCACCAGATCTCATTATAGATGGTTGTGAGCCACCATGTGGTTGCTGGGAATTGAACTCAGGACCTCTGGAAGAACAGCCAGTGCTCTTAACCTCTGAGCCATCTCTCCAGGCCCTGATATTTTTTAATTACATTTATTTGGGGGGCGGGCAGGTGTTGAACTCAGAGAACAAGTGGAGGATGTTGTCCTCTGGTCCCAGGGCTTGATGAGGTCACTAGGCTTGATGTCAACACCATAACTTGGCTTAACCATCTTGTCAGTCCCTAAAGTTGATTCATTGAAGTCAGTAAAACTGTTAAAACTCAAAGTGAGACAGATTAAGAAAAAAAGGAAATGTCACCAAAAAAAAGTCGGGAAAGAAAACTGAAATATAAACAACTAATTCCTAGCTACTTGGGGAGTTTGAGGTTATCCTAGGCTAGAGACCCTGCCTCAAAAAAAAGAAAGAAAAAAAAAACACCCCATGATGTTATATCAATATATTTTGTAGAAGTTATATGAAATTGCCGGGCAGTAGTGGTGCACATAGTTAATCCTAGTACTTGGGAGGTGGAGGCAGAGGCAAGTGGTGGATCTCTTGAGTTCCAGGACAGCCAGGGCTACACAAAGAAAATCTGTCTTGTGGGGGAAAGTTATATGAAATCATGTATGTAGTAGTACATGCTGTAGTCTAAGTACTCAGAGGCTGAGGCAGGGGCAGAAGCTGAAGGACAGCCTTCACTCTGTATGCACATCCTAATTCATAGTCATCTTTTATGGCAAAGGGAGCTATCGGGTAAGAGTAAGTGGAGGAGCTGGAACTGGATTGAGAGTTTTCCCTAGTTTATTTGGGTGAGCCCTAAAGAATCAAGAGTTCTCACTGAGGCAGAGGCACAGTTCCACACAAGACAGAAGGCATGATGTGACAGCAGAAATAAGTAGAGGTGTTTTGGTTTTGATTGAGACAGAGTCTCACATAGCCAAGGTTTGCCTCAAAAATCACTGGCCAAGGCTGTTTTTGAACTCCTGATCCTCTTGCCACCTAAATTCAAGTAGTGACATAGAGACACTGCTGCACTGCTGCCTTTGAAGATGGAGGAATGGGCCTGGGACTGAGGATTGCAGTTATGGAAGCTTGGAGAGGCAGAAAAAGGACTACTAATATCTTGGTTAAGTCCTAGAAGGAGGGATAGGATGTTGGTTCAGTTGGTAGTGTTTGCTCAGTGTACACAAAGGCCTACAGACCTAGTAACATGGTCAACCATGTTAATAAGTTCAAGGTACTGTGTTAAAGCAGCTCTAGCAAACTAATATGCAGACACCAGAAGCTCTGCTGTCTAGAGTGTCATTCCTGGCTCAGTAAATGGGTAAGAGCTACCCCAGCCATTTGAATGAGAGAGTATTCTAACATGATGTTCTCAGCTGATTACAGGTGTGTGGTGAAGCACATGGGTAAAGGCAGGAAAATGCTGAGCCAAAGGCCACCATTGCTACATTGTAGGACTATGTCCCAAAGCAAAATGAAAAGGGACACTTTTGTAAACATCTGTAAGAATGATAGCTTTGGGTTGACTTACAGTCAGGAAATAGAACTGAGTGACTGCTGTTGGTGCTGTCAACAGTCATGCACAGGGCAACATTGAGCTTCCATTGCCACAGAAGGCCTGTGGATGCGTAATTGCCCATCAAGGTCGCTCAGGAGATGAGTCTCTTAGTGAAATCTACAGTGTTGGATGACAAATTCATTGGCAGGGTTCAAATGAGGACAAGTATCATTTGTTCAGTATCTCTAGCCCAGAGGAGTTAGTCCTTGAAGGAAAGATACCAAACTTGTTTCACACTTAGCTGGTTTGATTTAGCAAGCCACACAGTTAAAAACAAGAATCTTACACATTTGGAGGATATCATCCATATTTTAGAAGAAGCAGTAGTATAGCAGGCTGGTGAATAAGATCAGTGATCCAGCCACAGAAACAAGACCTTGGGTCATAAGACAATTTGATACGTTATGATGCAATAAAAGACTTCTATTGAAAGAACAAAGATACCACAAAGGTGGCAACTACAAGGCATCTTCAACCCTCAGAGGAGGGGTAAAGTGAGGAAGTTATAACTATTAAATTTAGATAAAGGAAGTGGTTGTGTACATCTTCCACACAGACCTCAGACGGAGTGCTGGTGTA